TTACAGGCACCTAGTAAGACAAGCATTACCTATGTAAATTAAGTTACTGAGAGCTCCTGGCCAGTTGTTTATTGGGAAGTTCCATTGATAGTCAGGTGATGTTATAACCTTGGCCCAAATCAGTGATGTCTTACTTAAGATTCAACCTCCACTCTGAACAAGGGTGCCTTTCGTAATTCAGCTGACCTCCTTTTTTAAGTATAAAAGTTTTTTCAACTTGTTTCTCTGCCTTCTTACTATATATATATCTGACTTTTTTGCAACATTTTTTCAATGGGCGTCCTGTTTAAAACCACCTACATACAGTACTTACCACACCCTTCATTCCTAGTGATCTGTCTTTTGTAAATCTGCACATGAGCAATATTATAGTCATTTTTATCATTCTGAGAAGTACAGCTTTCTAATCATTTGGGATGTCTCTTTTTGTGGGTTTGTCTTGTATTTCCAGAAACTATTTTCTGACTTCTTTTAACAGTCATTTTAATGTTAATTTGCCTTTATTGCAAGCTGGTTTACTTTTTAACCTTGTGCTCTGTAGTGTTATCATAAAAGTCCAAAGACCCCTGAGAAATCATGAGGCCTTAAATTTAAAACACTGCTAGTAAATGAGGTAACATTTGAAAAGTTGATTTCAGGCCTTGCTGCAGTATGTAGCCCAGAAGCTAATTATAGACTTCCGTTTTCCCAGAACTTTTAATGATCTTTCCTGGAGTTGGGGAATGTCCAGTATGTGGAACCTTTTTTTAATGACAAAGATTTGGATTATGTGAGAGGTCACTGATGGAGGAAGAACTGGCTTTCACTCAATTATGGAATGGAATTCTTTTCCTCTGTGTGAAGGTGGTGACTGCTTGCATTAGTGGAGATGAAAGAAAGGTGTAAATACAGTATGTTTTTATTTTAGTTCTAATCTTTTTTTGCTGAAGTTTCACAAGGGGAATAGTTTTAAAGTACACATTCACTACTTAATTAAAAAAATATTTTTGTTCTTAAGTCATAGCTGGCTCATTTGATGATGTGATCTGTAAATCAAGTTTATCAAGGTAGGGAGAAACCAACCGAAACTTGAAATTCTGGAAATACAAAAACATATGATCTCATTTGTATTTTCTGTCATCGAGACCGAAAGCAAATCATTCATTTTTAAATTTTCATCTGGTCACAAAACCAATTACAGAACAATGAATAGTATTTCCCTCTATATCAATGGTACCTAAGTTCAGAGATTAAGTTCTGTGTATTGTTCTGCTTTTTAGAAGTTTGTCTACTGTGAACTGCTCATGACATTCCATTTACATGTTCTTTCTAGAATTTGTTTAAAAGCTTTTAGGTTATTAAACATTAAAGAATTAAACATTTTCCTGTGGGGTATTGTTAGTCTTAGTGTAAACAGTGACAGGTATTATTCATTCCTAAATGCCTATGTGTAAAAAAATGTTAGATGGGAGGTATAAATCTGTTCTAGAAATTGAACTGTACAGCAATAGAAAATAAAAAGCTGCTTGGTTGAATTTAATGCTGAGATAAAAAGGTGGAAATAAATATTTTCTCTTTTTCTTCTCTCAATACAGGTGTTGTGAGTTTTGCCACATGTCAAAAAAAAACCTGAAAGTTTTTGCATAATTATGCTGAAGTACAAATAAATCACTTTTCTCACTATTATCTTCTAAATGGGAGTCAGTCTCGTACATCTGCAAAAATAATGGTCATGTCTGTGCTGTACGTAACAAGAACATAAAACTGTAATTGTAAATAGGATGTCATTTTTGTTCTGTATAAGTGGAGTTTTTGTTACATGTCATTTTCTTTAAAAAGCTAGAGTAATTGTTAAAAAGTTTAAATAAAATCACCTGCCAAGTGTGTGTATCTGAGTTCTGTATGTGTTCAGCCACACTATATGCAGTAGCTCACTGGGTGCCCTCATAACTCTGTCAGATGTTTATTTCTAATTCATGAAGGGTGTTCTTTTTGCCCAGCTCCAAAGCACACAATGTACTACATAAGAGTCAGATGCATTTTTTACTATAAATGTGCACAATCTGGCATATATATTAAGAAAGAGTTGTGTCTTCACAGCCAGTGCTTAAAACCTGAGGAGACCCTATACTTTTCTTTTTTAATATAATTGTTTTTCTCTTCTAGGAGTGGTTAAATCAGTAAGAGATGCTCTGTGATTCTCAAGAGATCATAGATCTTTGAAAGATTAACTTCTTAAAAAGTAGCCTTGAGATTTGGGATTCAAAATTAGAAAAGAATCTGAAACCTAGTACATAGCTTTATTCTTATAAAAATGAATCAGGTTCCTCTAAAGATGGAATCGATTGTTTCCATTAATGTTTAAATACCAGTCCTCTTTAATCCTTAAAGGAATTAATTCCCCATCATTGCCTTTGTTTCTGTATATACTGTAATGCCATGGAAAATGAAAGATTTTGTTTTAATGCATTTACAACTCAATGGAATTTCAATGTTAAAGTGTGCATATATATAAATATAAAAATGGTTTATCCATTAATGGTAAAAAAAATATATTTTTTTTATTTTATGGCCACACACTCATCTTTTGCTTATCTTTATGTACATCTAGTTTCTTGCTATAAGAATGTGCTACATTTAGCACATATTTATACCTTTCTCCTGTGTATTTGACCTGATGTGTTTGCTGTGAGAACTTACAAAATGACCAGTGATATTAACCCTTGGCAAATACAGGCAAACAAAACTGCCTGACCATGATGCTGATCCTGTCACAGTGTGCCTGTCTGTTCCCTGTGGGAAACTGAGTTTAACATCCCATCTCAAAATGCCCATAAATAGAAACGCTGTGCTACCTCTCCCCTGCAACCCAATTTAGCCAATTTATGGCTTGGAATAGGAATGTTTTTATCACATTTAAGCATTCAACATTTATGTTATTTGTAGTCCAGTTTTTTCTCATACTTAAATGTAAAGTATAATCCAAAAGTTTCTCCCTTTTCATTTTTCATGTAATTAGTTTTGCACTGCATTTCTATAAATTATTGGATTGAACATTTGCTAACTGGGAATGTCAATGTTTTTTTTTCAGCTTTTACAGTGCCATGTTTTGTGCTCCACAGTTAACTCCTTCTTTGCTTAGTTCCCACTGACTGACTTATATTACATTCAATTGTAATTAACAAGGTGGAAAAAAAAAAATTATCCGCAAGTGTGATTGTTCAAGACATTGTGTTAATCTATACTTTTAGTCACATAGACTCTTTTTTACGATGAATAATTTGGTTAATTAATAATTAATGATTTGGTAGCTTCTTGTTTTAATGATCTGTTTTGCACCTTGCTGGTTACAGTGTAACATTCATTATTCCATCTTTCAATCCTTCACCCTTTTTCCTCCTTATTCCTCCACATTCGCCTTTTGAGCAACTTTTCTGCCAGTGAAAACACTGCCCTGCTCGTTGTGGAAGGAAATTGGGTTCTATTCTGAAAAGATCTGCGCTGCATTGTTTCTTAATTGGCTGTTATTAATGCATGTCAAGGAGCAAACTAATACAGATTTGAAGAGAATTTTGAAAACTGTCTGTTTTAGCATTCGCACACCTTGTTGATTCTATAGTACATACAGGAGAAATATTTCCTGAGATAAAGTACAACTTTCAAGTGTTCATTCTGAATGGTTGGACTTCATTACAAACGGGTTTATTTTTATTTTTCGACTATAAAATAAATAGCATTCTTCTTCAGTGTCATAGTTACAATAGATAGAGACCCTCCCACACAGATATAATAACTGTCAGGCAACACTGCAGCACAGTGCATGTAGTGAGCCTGTTACTTAAAATGGAGTTCAAGGTTCTGAACTGCAGACAGAATGCCCCTGATTGAGAGAGGTTTTTCTTATTATGAAGGTATAGGCCTGCCTTCCTAGAATATGACCAAGCTTTTTCTTTAAAAATGTTGTTATAACGCCCACTTCCACAAGACTGCAGACAGGGCTTTGTGTGGCTCAACAGGCGATACCATTGAATACAGATTAAGATGAAGCCTGAAAATATTTGTACTCTTGTTTCACCTTTTGCTTTTAGTATTTATTAGAATAAACATTTCGTAATAAAGACTTTAATACTGTAAAAGATTATTCATTTTTAAGTCTGTTTTATATTGTTTTCATTGCTTTCAGTCTAATGTTTTTGACATATTCATTTTAAGGTGACTTTTGCTTAATGTCACATAATGCATGCAATTTCATTTGTTCTGTGTTTCTCTAATGTGTGGAGTTAATTTTGCTTTCAACACTAAACATATACACTAAGCATATTTCCTGTGCAATTTATGTCTGATTTTAACAGATGATGAGAATTATCCGTTTCTGTTCAAATCTTTAGGGTTGCTAATGGGTATGTGATTTAAAGAGAACTATTAATTCAATTCTGTGGAATTGTTTTGCCATAATTGTCCACCTGGATTGCAGAATGTTCTAAGAGCATTAAATTGTACTGACAAAAAACAGATGGCTTGTTATAAAAGTGTTTTATGTCAAATTGGTGATAAATTGGATAGTATTTATAATAGACAGTTACTGGCAAAAGTATTGGTGCCTGTGAATTAAATCAGTTTTTTACATTGTTTTTGTATTTGTATTTGATTAATTTTGTTGTGGCATAAATATCTCTGAAGTGTATATATTTTAGAGTGTAGTGAACTTTGCTTTATCCTGGCAAGAATTGTTAAGGATTGGAGGTGATTTCAGATTAAGAACTGATACATGTCATTTAAAATCCAATTCCCCCTTTTTAATTGGTTTGCAACTTATGACAATATTGACTGTATATTAATGTTCCATAGTAGTCTATTATGCAGTGAATTAATGCAGTAGCTAAAAGGTTTTGTTTTATGGGCACAAATAATTGAAAGCTATAACACCATGAAGAATCAATACATGGCTTAAGTTAGATGTTTTCCTTCTGCCTTCTAGAAAGTCTGGTTATTATAATAACGTCATATATTTGATTTCCCAGCTGTGTGTGGAGTTTGTAACAGAAACACTGACAGTGGAGACTGTATGTGAAGCCCTGCAGGTAAGAATTTCTTTCTTTGAATTTAGTTGTCTTATCTTGTGGTACAGGGGCAGGGGCATTCTGTGGCAAATCACTCAACAGGCCAAGCCCAGAATATTTAGAGCTGATTTGTTGTAGAATGTCAGTTTTATGATTTGGGGGATGGCATAGTGTTTCGTTAGGAAAACTGCTCTTTATGACTTGTATTGGGAAAGGGGGATAGTGAAAAGGGGGATTGAAAATGTGCAGAGTGTTTCTTCTTGAAGGAGACATCCGATTAAATCTATATTGAACAGACAGTAAACAAATATTGTTTCTTTGTGAGTAATCACAAGTGCATGAAAAACACATTTTGGAATTTTGAAAGGGAGATTTTGAAATGGTGTAGCAAATAAAAAGAAAACTGGAAACAAGTGCCTAGTTCAGCTTTAGAAATTGGTCTGGTAGGACCTAGGTGTAATATGTCCAATCAGACCTTCTGATTCTAATATAATATTTTTATATTACAAATAAATAAATAGTGCTAGAATAGATTTTGAAGTTCCAGTCACTGTTTGTTGTGCCATTAAATGTCATCTTGCTTTTGCTCTACGAAGCACACACACTATACTGACATCATTTTCCTCGATAAATACAAGTGGGACACTTAAGCAGGCTTCTAAACTACTTGGCACAGACCTGATGTGGGTTTATCTATTGTTTAGAATAGGAGTTTCAAAATGACAGGTGTTTCTGGAGGGCTTTGGTATTGAGTTCACAGTCACAGGATGTGCAGAGAGCACAAAATATTTTTTTAAATGTGTTTTATATACACATATACAAGGGGACACTGTATATGTATTGACTGTATTGACACTGAAATTGTCAAAATATTTAATGTATTCTATTGTAATTATTGTTTCTGCTATAAGTATGCTTTAAAAGGTGACATTTTGCATTTGGAAAATGTAGAAATACTTTTTCAAAAGTGATACATTTCTAAACATCATTTTCAGGGTTTTTCTGTATCACAATTGTTAATTTTTCTGTATCACAATTGTTAATTTTTCAAAGACATTTCTGATGCCATCAGTACCTGCTGTTTTATTTATATTTTTTTCTAGTGGCTTTCTTTTCAGAAGGACAATTTCAAATCCTCTTATTATAGAAAAATCCCACAGCAATGTTCATATTGTGTTGTACAGCATTGCACAGGTTAATAGTTTCCTGACAGCAAACTACGACACAGGACTCATTATCAGACTGGTACTTGGAGCCAATGAAAACTGTCTTATAGTTGATTTATTTTTTGCTATAAATATATGTCCTGCCATGACTCATTAAGGATTTTTCTTTCACCATGATTGTCTATTATTAATTTTAATTTCATGTTACCCTACATCAGTATTCCATCTGGACAGTATAAATGTATCACGATGACGCATATTGAGATGTAGATTGCATATCATAATAGATATATTTCTAGTCTCTGGATATATTCCTGAAGAATAAGTGTTTGATCTATTGTAGTTAAACTTAATAACTGTAGTCCATAATAGTTGGCTCTATACCAAAAGTAATTTCCCTTTGTCAAACCTGCATGTCCTTATTAGTGACACAATTATTTGCGGTACAAGTTTAAATGCATTCTTTACTGGGTTATAGTGTGATCTATGCCTATGTGAACTGAGAATATATTTTAAACCAAAAAAAAGCCAAAACAGAGAGATACAACTTCTATAGCCTTCAAAGGAGTCATTATTTGAGCTAGTGTCCTGCTAACACATTCTTATTTGTACTCTCAAAGACAACTCAAGGACATGCTTCCATAAATTGGAAGCTTTCTTCCTTCACTACTGATTGACATTCAAGGTAATTAAAGAAGAGTTCTTTACAGCTGCAGTTAGACTTGGATCATTGACCTTCATGACATATTGTTACCTAGTTGCTCTAGAAGAGCAGAAATGATACATCAAAGTATGAAAATATCTTCTGGTACTTGGAAATAGAAAAAAAAACAACCTGACTTCCAAAATGTTTCACTCACCTTACAGTTAGAAGTGTTACCCTCTTTTTATTCTGTTGTGTAAGTTCTGAAGTTTTTTGTTAACAGGCATAGTTAAAAGGTAATGTCAAAAAAATTGGAGAAGGGGATAAAAAATCTATTTAACACACTGTTTGTTAAGACATTTTTCATGTATTGTTATGAAATAATGGAAAAAAAGAATGCAAAAAACAGTTAAATTGAACATGTCAAGCTAATAATAAAAATTTGAATGTTGCCTACATAACTGGAATATTATTGTGGCACATCCAAGTAATATATAAACCTGCCATTGTGCAGCAGGACATGATTTATTTAAAAAATGACTTGGAGCAAACTCAGTTTGATAAGTACTTTTACACAAAGGAAAACTGTAGACCTGGCAGTCATTTCCGAAATACTTTATAGTTACAATGTGGAAACTGTATAATCAAACATATGATCTTGTGACCACCAAGTGCTCGATTGTTCATTTTCTCTTTTGACCTCCTGTTATTTCCATATACATTTTATTGTAGGTGTCAGGTACATATCCACTTCGATAATGGAAGATTTGTAGAAATTAGTTGTAAGCACTTGCGTCCCTTTCCTGTTTTAATTATTTATACTTGACCAAGATCAGCAGTGATGTTTCACCTGCACCTGCAAAATGAATGAAACGGACAAAAAATATTTTGCATTGTAGGAAGAGAAAGATATCATCTCGAGAAGGTAGCAGTCAACATTCTAAGCTTCTTCCTGTCAAAGTCTGATATAAATCAGTGTAACACCTCAAAAAAGAATAAAGGAAATTCATGCAAAAAAATAACCTTATATACATGAAGGTCTATGAGTTCCACCTAAGGGGAAATTTGGAAAGTCAGATTATAGGGGAAAAGGAAACTTGGATCATACTCGAAAAGTAAGAGAGTATGTAGTTCTGGCCATCTGTTTAATTGTCTGTGGGGCTTTCCTACTTAAAATTGCCAAGAAACCAAACACACAGTTGGACCTATTGCTAGGCTTTGGAAATTCATACCACTCTGTAAAAACTTTTTTTTTATCACGGTGGGTGGAATCCTCTTTTTACACTGCAGTCTATTTTAAATGTGACCTTGGAAGACTGACTCAAACAGATATTTATTCAATTGTCACATGTAGTCGGTCATTATTTTCATGTCATTGTAAATTGGAATGGAAAATCTTAAATTGGAAGAAGAAAACCTTTTTAGTTCTGAAATTGAAGTTTAAATACTAATAACATTAATGTAAACAATGTACGTCCTGTGTAAGGCAGCAGTTAGTGCTCTGGACCCTGAAAGGTCTGAGCACTAACTGGAAGGTTGTGGGTTCAAATCCCAGCCTGAGCACTGCAACTGTACCTCTGATTCAGTATAGTAAAGCACTGTCTAAATGTGTGCATTGTATATTAAGCATTGGCCAAATGAATAATTCCAAACCATAGAAGTCCCTCATACTCAGGCATATTTCTATAAATCATAAACCAAAGTTACTATTTCATTAATTTAATGGCAATTTTTATAGAGTTAGGATCACCATTTACTTTCATTGCAGTCACCTGATTTGAAAGAGCCATTGTCGCTCTTTCCACATGTCGGCTCACAGCTGTGATCCCTGTGACTGAAGTGTAGGTAGTCTCACTCTGACCTGTCCACTTTCGAGCCATTCATTTATTAACACAGCCCTGTTCTTGCACAGATTGAGAGGCACAGCCCACACTGACACAGCCACATACTGTACCTGCAAGGACCTGAAAGTCCAAAGGGGGTCACTTCGTAGATCAGAGAGCCACGGCTGACCCATCCCATCACCCCCTTGGTGGCACATGACCAGTTATTTGCCAATCCCAGTCAGCTATTGTCTTGACTAGGCTCAAATCCGTCACCATTGAATTTAATACAATATTTCTGTTAATTGTTAAACTATTAATTGTTACTTTCAGTTTAATAATAAAATTAAGTTAATTAAATGAAATTATTAGCTAAGTAACCATAAATGTCATGGTGTCAGTTTCTTATGTGCTTTTAAGAAGGCAAAGGAGAGTGTATTTCATTTCAGTATTAATGTTTAATCCTAGGTATTGATCTCTTGTCATGTCTCGTTGTCACCTTATGTACTTATTTATATTTGATTTTTGTCTTTCTAATGTTAAACCTTTTGTAACATGGTCTATTGAGAATTGTTTTTTTACTCTTTTGAAAAGCTGTTCCTTCACATACATAGTTTAAGACAAACTTATTTTTGGGAATTCCTAATCAGGGCCCATCTCTTGAGGTTCAGTAGTTAAAACACACTACATTTAAAAAATGAATTAGAATGAAAAACATGCTAGATGTTCAGTGACAGCTGAGAACAGGGAACTGAACTGTATAATAAGGTCCTGGGAATTTCCTGTTTTGAATTTACACAATGTGATCATTGTATATAGAAAAAAAAGCTTGAGAAGGTATTTTTGTTTGGTAATTTTACTGCCGTATTTGTATTGTTAAAATCAGCATTGGTAAATTCTGGCAACATTGCCAGTCTTAGTCTATATCATTTATTTGTATTTCTTTTAAAAATGTCTTATCTTTTATGAATGTTATATTTAAGTGCCAAAGACAAATTACTGAGAAGCTGAGGAAGAGAAAAATACTTGCTAATGTCTACTGTAATTGGTAGATTCACATTCAGTATACAGTATCTTCCATATTCCATTTCTAAAAGAAGACTATTATAATATCAAAAGTGTATTAATGGGGAAGTTAATTCAGTTTGCTTATGCCATTTTCTAGGAAAGCTATTCCTCTGTAAGGCCTCTATGATGTAAGTTACCTACAAAACAGTATTGGTTACTTGTGCATTAAAGGAATAGATTTCTGTGAAGAACAGCTGCTTCTTCCTCCTAATCATTGTAAATGGATGGAAACAATACATGCAGAGAAACGAGGAGCAATACAGGTGACTCTTCTTCACTTGAACCCTTTGCTAACCATTATCTTTGCACTGACAAATAGCG